GAGAGAGAGAGAGAGAGAGAGAGAGAGAGAGAGAGAGAGAGAGAGATGGTTAAATGATTTTTGATGTTTTCTCCCCAGTGACACTTTCTCTCCATTCTGATTCTCTCATCGCCTCATCTCTGGATCAAAACATCCAGGGATTTTCTAGAACTTTCAGGAAGCCAGGAAGCCACACCAGAGCTCCTGAGGTAAGGCTAGGGAGCAGCGAAGATATAAAGAATAAAATTTAATCACCTTGTTCTGTATCTCCTAATCCAACAAGCCATGTTTATGGGCTCCAGAGAGCTGTTTATTTCTCCTTTAGAACCACCTCCCACCCCTACCGACAGACAGGTTTGTGTGGGCGCGGCAGACATTGTCAGGACAAAATCTGCCATGAGGTTCATTCCCAGCACCCTTTCCCTTCGCTTCTTAAGTTCCCCTCCTGCTTCTAAAACTGGGGGTCTGCCGTGATTCCAGAGATCTGAAAAGACACTGACAAAGACTTCCCCCAAATAACCGGCTGGTTCCCACACTTCCCACGCGGGTGTTGGCTCTCTGGACCCTGCTTTCATTACTTGTTTCAAATACGCCTTTTAGAATCTTCCCTGAGGAGGTTTTCAAACGCACACCTTTTAGTTTTCACTAAACTCGTTTTATTGTACTTCCTCAAGTGTGGTTCATCTGGAGTCTGTAGAAATGAATGGCTAAAACCAGTGTGATTTCAAACACTAAGAAAGAAAAGATTTTTTTAAATAGAAGTATTATTTTACTTTCTGGCACCCTATTAATTTTTTTCTAGTTTTAATTATGTATATGTGTGTCTGTGTGGGTGTATTTACATGTGTGAAGGGCCCACAGAGACCGGAATAAGGTGTCATATCTGTAGCTGAATACCCAGTGTGGGTGCTGGGCACTGAAATGTGCCATCTTCAGGAGCAGTATAGGAACCCTTAACTGTTGAACAATTTCTCTAGCTCTTCTGGGACCCTTCTAGTAAAGACAAAAACCCCATGTGAGGACCTTTGATAATATCATTAAATATCCTTGCATAACTTCACATGAAACCACCACAAAACAGGTTTTATTTTAATTTTCTGGGTAAGAGAATTTTGCACAAATATGAGGACTTAAGTTCTAATCCCCAGAACTCATGTAAAAATCTGGGTGTGGCCAGGAGCTACGGTACCCCTAGAGCTGATGGCAGGGAGGCAGGTGTGTGCAAGAGGTTTATTTCTTCAGTTTAATTTCTAAAGTCAGAAATATTTCTATAAGGCAAGTCATCCCTGGTGATTGCAGCCAGGGCTGGCTTTGGGTGTGACATTTCTTTTTCTGAGGAGTCTGAAACTCCATCAACGGTGCAGCTTCCTTCCTGACTCCCAGGCACCATGGTCTCTGTACTCAGAAGAAATGATTTATTGATGTTATTGTCTGTCTGTCCTCAGGAGATGAAGGACATATGTCAGGATGGAAAGCAGAAACCCCCTCTAGGCATTGTGGGCAAGCTAGTACTCGGGAGTTAGTAAACCACTTGTGGAAAATATACTCTTCCACTGTTTACTTTGCTGGTATAGAACCTAGAGAAAATGTGTAAGTCCCATGGAAGTCAACCAACTCTGACCTCATTCAGCTTCTTAGCCTCTATTAATTAAAAGTATGAGGAACATGGATGATGCTGAAATTAATCTCCCTGAGCTAGACATCCATATCTGACTGCCAACCAGAGCAAGAGAGACTTAAAACAAGAAACTATAATTAACTCTATGACTGCAACTACACGTCTTTTACCTGCTTTATTATGGGTGTTTCTTGTTAGTTCATTGTTAGTTCATCTTTAATATATATATATATATATATATATATATATATATATATATATATATTAAAGATAGTGTATGCTTAGGACATTGAAGGCCAATAATTGATCAGGCAGTTCATTATCTTTCCTTCTTCCAAAGAAACTTCTATTATACCCCAGTTGCAGCCAATGTTGACATGATCACCATCGAAATATTTTTAAAAATCTCTCTCTTTCAGCCCTAGCGTCATCCTTGACTAGGCTCCCACTGTGACTGCAGTGACTCTTCAGCTGAACTGGGAATTCCAGTCTTTGGGATCCTCATTTTTACTCTTCGTCTGTGTTATTTTAGATCCCCATTTTCTTCAGAAGAACCGAAGATCTAAAAATATCCCCAAACAACAAAAGCCCAATAACCCGTGTCAGGGGGGAAAATGGCCAATGTGGGCAGCTGGCTGGCTTGATAACGAATGTGTGGTATTTAAAACATAGAAGTTGTTACCACATCTGGACCAACAGCCAATGAAATTTGGGCTCTGGGGTATTGAGGAAATCGTTGATTTGAAGAAGAGAAGGCATCGTGTAAGAGGAGGTTTCATCGTTTTGGAGTGGAAGTTGCTATGGGCAACTTCAGTGCCGTCTCTGAGTTCATCCTTCTTGGGCTGTCTGCTGATGCTGAGGTCCAAGCCGCGCTCTTTGTGATTTTCCTTGTCATCTATGTCCTGACCCTGACGGGGAACTCCGTGATTCTGCTAGCGATAATGGCTGACGCTCACCTCCGTTCCCCGATGTACTTTTTTCTGGGTCACCTCTCCTTCGTGGACCTTTTGTATTCGTCAGTCTCTGTGCCCAAGATGCTAGAAAATCTAGTGTCTGAGACAAAAACCATCGCTGTGAAGGCCTGTCTGGCCCAGGCCTTCTTTGTGTATGCCATTGGAGGCACCGAGGCTTTGCTCCTTGCGGTCATGGCCTACGACCGCTACGCAGCCATTTGCCACCCTCTGCTCTATGGCCAGATGATGAGCAGGCAGTTGTGTGAGGGGCTTGTGTGGGGATCCTGGGGCCTGGCCATACTGAGCTCACTCATTAACACCCTCCTCGCTGTGAAGTTGGACTTCTGTGACTATGGAGCCATACACAACTACAACTGTGAGATCCCTTCCCTCTTCCCTCTGTCTTGCTCCGACGTCTCCACTAACGCCACTGTCTTGCTCTGGTTGTTTGTTCTACATGCCTCTGGAACCTTTCTTCTGGTTTTATCTTCCTATGGTTGCATTTTCTCCGCTATCCTGAAGATGCGCTCCACCACGGGCAGAAGCAAGGCCTTCTCCACCTGCTCCTCCCACCTCACTATAGTGATCTTGTACTTCGGGTCAGCCTGCCTGCGCTATACCATGCCCACCTCGGGTTCTCCCGTGGAAATAATCTTCTCTTTGCAGTACAGCGTCATCACCCCCATGCTGAACCCCCTCATCTACAGCCTGAAGAACAAGGAGGTCATGGCAGCTGTGGGAAGAATGCTTGGAAAATGCTGCCAGCATTTTGAGTAAGTCGATCAGAGAGACACGGGGTGAAGAAAACACTTGAGAGACCCAAGGTCAAGCTATGGAGAGATTTAACAGGAATGCCCCTAGAGTCAGATGCTGTGTGGAAATACTGGGGTTTTCCCAGAGTAATGCCTCTTCCCGTGGCGGCCTTAATGTTAATTCTATTCAGAGACAAAGCATTAAGTATCTGACTCTTCTGCTACGAAATTAATTTAAATATACTTGTTTATTATTTTATCTTAAAGAGGACATTTCTTAGTTTGTCTCCACCCCCCCCCCCCGATACTTTCTATTTTCTTTTAGTAACGGGACCCATTTTCCTTTGGGCAGAATTCCACTGCCCCATTATATATGTATCAATGTCAATGCCTTTTTACGAGGGGTGATCATGGGACCCCGTGGGCTGGCCATTCTGTTTCAGCTCCAGTGCTGGCCCAGGACTGTGGTCAATTGATTCAAACGTGGCTCAGACGACCCAGCTTCCTGTACCTATAATCTTTTCTGTGTGACTTGGTAGCTTTCCCGTCTCATTTTCCTCCTCCTTGGATATGAGGTGGCTGTATGATGTCTGCCTTGACCTTAGTTTTTAAATAATCTAACTCTGTGGCATAACTTACATATAACTCACCAACTTTAATGTACAGCTTGATCATTTCTTTATTTTAATAAACAGTATTGGTATATATTCATTGTATATTGTGATGAGTTTCATAAAGGCGTTTTTTGAGAACTGCAGGGATAGGGATAGGAATCACCACTGCAATCATGTGTTAAATTTTTCTATCCTAACACTAAGTTCCCAGGGGCCTTTTGGGAGTATATTTCCTTTCAACTTCTGGCCCTTGGTAATCACAGATCATCCTTCAATGACTATAACTTTGCCTCTGCGAGAATTTCACCTAGATGCAATCATGGCATGAAGCATGTTTGTATCTGCTTTCTTCCTTCAGCATAGTGATATATTCATTTGTTCTGTGATTCACATATATGAGTAGAAATATTTGTGAAGGTGTATGTATCATCCACCTGGGTAGATACCCAGGAGAGGAATTATGGGGTCGGATTGACTTTAATGTGTAACTTGATAAGAAATTGCTTTACTGCTTTCAATACTGGTCCACGTTCCCACCAGCAGCATGTGAAGCTCCCAGCTGCTCTCCAAATCCACTACCAGTATTTGATATTGAAAATATTTTTTTTTAAAATTTCACATTCAAGTAGACTCAGAAAAGTTCAATTTGTACTTAAAAACCTCTCATAAAAGAAACTGCAAGTCTGCATGACCTTATGGTAAAGTTTTAACAAAATTCATCAGAAGCAATAATATAAATTTTAAAAAAGACCCCCCCCAAAAAAAAAACATGGACAAGCAGAAATATCCTCAAGTAACTTTATGAGATCCTGATACTAAAACCAGACAAAGAAATATATTCCGAGGAAAAAGTTTCCCTTCTAGAATCTGGAAACAGAGCCTTTTCTCCTAACTAGTATCATAATTGTTATTTAATACAACTTTCACTCTTCTATATAAATTCTGTCTTAAAGTCAAGTGGCCTCCATTTTCTGCACAGGAACATCAATTTTCAAAACCCCAATTTTAGTTTTTATTGTTCGTTAACAAAATCTTTTGTGTTTTCTGGGCAAATAAACGTATCTTGTCTGTATAATTCACTCTTATTTCTACAGCACTCTTATTTTTATTATCTTAAAAAGGCAGCCATTCACAAAACTCAAGAACCCTATAAACAAAAGGATAAGAATTGAACACATTAGAGAAGAGATACCCATGTGGAAGAGAAAGTTATGTGTTCAGAAGAGAAGCAATAAATCAGTGAACAGAGCCATAGTGATGACAATATATTATGATCAAAGGCATTCTATTCAATTCATTCCTTGGTGCACTCAGGAAAACTCAATCCACCCACTAATTATATCACCGTAGGGAATGTTGTATCAGAGTTAAACAGACCAGGACTTAAAACACTATTGTGGCAGACTAGAGAGACTCAGCTCCACTGAACCAATGGCAGGAGAGTCTTTAAACCAGGGTGAGTTAGTAGAAGAGTTCCGGATGACATTATCAGAGACGGTGGTCCGTGGGATGTACCTGGTGCGGGGGATCATTTCTGAGTTTTCAAGTGTTTTTCTCTGTGATTCGACCATCTGTGCTTGCTCTTCAGCGTCTCCATTGTCAGAGGCCTGGAACCGAGGTGTTTCCTCTGCTGTGTTCTTAATTCGGAGAAGCTTTCTAGGTCCTTGAGAAAGACATTCCTGGCCTACAAAGCTGGCCAGAAGTCAGGACAGTATTCAATACAGTTTAAAGAGGCGAGTGAGTAACTTACAAGACTTTCCAAAGTGAAAAGGAGACAGAGCCAGGAGAGACAGCCTCAGGGTTAAGAGCACTTGCTGCTGTTGGGAAGGACCAGAGTTTGGTTCCCAGCACCCACATTAGGAGGGTCACAGCTGCCTGGAACTCTAGCCCCAGGGGATCTGACGCCTTCTTCCACCTCCTCGGGTCTCCCCACACAGGTGCAAAGACACACATACACACATAAATAAAAACAAAATAAATATTTAAAAAAAAACCCACAGAGTAATTGGGACTGGAGAGGCTGCTCAGTAGTTAAAAGCTCTAGCCACCCAGGTTCTAGTCCCAGCACCCATAACCACAGCCGTCTCTGACATGAGTTGCAGATACCCCCTTCTCGCCTGCTCAGGAACCAGGCACCCATGGGATACACAGACACTCATTCAACCAAAGCATTCATATACATAATGTAAAAATAAATCTTGAAAAGAAAACAATTAAAAGGCATTCTTGTTCAGTACATTACAGGGAATTGCTAAGCTATTGAAATCAAAACAGCCAACATTCAAGAAACTTAAGACATCAATTCACCTCTCTCAGCGGTCACTCTGCAAGCTCAGCGGGTCACTCATCAGCTACTCGATGTAGCTACCCTTCTGAACTACTATACCCAAGAAGTCTGCTTACACGGCACTCTCAGAAAAATACTTAGAATAGGAAAATCATGGAAAAAACCAGTGGTGTGACTGCATTAGAAACAGCCTGAGTAATTGTCCACGTGTTTCTATTCTGAGAATCAGTTTTTTTCTTGTTGATTCAGAGTGGCACAAGATTAAAGGAATCTCGAAAAAGTCTTTGAACTCTTAGCCTGGAAGTCTTCTGGCACATGATCTGCTTTCTGTTGCTGTAACAGAGTATCTGAGACTTGGGAACTTACGAAGAAAAGAAGTACAGTTAGGCTCTCAGTCCAAGCATGATGTTGGCAGTCCACTGCGTGGAATTCATGGTGAAAACTGGGAGTGCAAGTATGTATGTGTAAAAGACAAAATAGGAGAACAACCTCCCCCACCCCTTGTAACAACTCACTCTAGTGGTGACTGACCCAGATGCACGGAATGAGAACTCCCACCAACGGAACTAACCCAGGCCCATGAAGGTGTTAATTCAGTCACAAGCGCTCCGTTCCATAATCAAACACTATCCCTTAGGCCTTAGCTCTCAACACTGCCACACCAAAAGACACCCCCAAGACACAAACTTGATGAAAGCAGATGAAGTAAGGAGTGAATGTGTATTTTTCCACATGGACATGGGCTGTGTCAGGAATCACCTCACACCCTTGAGAATGGCAAGGCCTTCTCTCTGTCAGGCTTAAGGGGATGTCCAGGCGTAGCTAGAGTTTTCCTGCCTGGCCCACAGTCAGGACAAATCTTTGTCACCCGCCAGTCCCACAGCCACTCAGACCCAACCAAGTAAACACAGAGATTTATATTGCTTACAAACTGTATGGCCATGGCAGGCTTCTTGCTAACTGTTCTTATAGCTTAAATTAATCCATTTCCACAAATCTATACCTTGCCACGTGGCTCGTGGCTTACCGGCATCTTTACATGCTGCTTGTCCTGGCGGCGGCTGGCAGTGTCTCCTTCTGTCTTCCTGTTCTCTCTTTTCTCCTCTCTGTTAGTCCCGCTTATACTTCCTGCCTAGCCACTGGCCAATCAGTGTTTTATTTATTGACCAATCAGAGCAACATATTTGCCATACAGAACATCCCACAGCATCCAGGACTTCCCTTGGTCTGAGTACAAATGTTGAGAGAGTGTACAGAAATTATCAGTCACAGCTTCCTCCTCTTGTATGACTGTAACCTGAGACTTCTCACTGCAGAGACCTCCTACCAAGAACAACTAAACCTGCCTCCTTGTTCATCTGTATACCAGAAACCTACTTCCTTGCTCAGCCATATACCATAAACCCACCTCCTTATTCATCTGTTTACTATAAACCCACCTCCATGTTCACCTGCACACCATAAACCCACCTTCTTGTTCATCTGTATGCCATAAAAACATCTATTTCAGCAACATAAAGTAAACCCACTGAATTTTCAGGCTGCTGGTGCACTTCCGTCAGAGCACATAGCCCACCCAGTCCCAGTATTTCTGACATGTGTCTGTCCTCCTTGTCATACCAGTCAGGCTAAGTCCAAAGTCATACAGGTTACAGCAGGTGTACACACTGAAACCATAGCAAATGTGAGTTAATGTTTCTTCTATCAACTCCTGGCACCTAGGTAGACAAAGGAGGCACCTTCCTAGAGAACTATAGTTGGTCCTCTTTCCCTCTGGATAAAGTCTTGTTGAGATACTCATGTTACAGATCAGAGCAGTGGAAGCTCTTTCTATTGGAGAAGACTGGGTCTGCCATGACAAGGTAGCTAGCTCTTGTGACACTTTATTCTTTCCTCTTCCTTAGTCTGTATTTTGTCTTTGGGATCACCTACATCACGGCTCTCAAAGAGGTATTATGCCCCCATGCCTCCATTTCTTCCTCTTTGGTTTGGTCTTTATTTCTCTGTTTACTAATATGATCTAACTGCCTCCAAATGACTCTGTGGGGGAACCATTAGTGGGGAGGAAGGGAACTAATTAGAGATGGGGCATGAGTATAAGTTAAGTATATGATTTGCATGTGTGAAGATATCATAATGATACAAATTGTTTTGAATACTAGTTACAAGTAATTTTAAAATAACTGTTGCTTCCTTTTTGGTAATAGTGACAGGTCAAAATTCAGGCAATGTATAGCATAGACAACTAATAATAACCAACTGATAGTGTATGCT